CCCCCCAGCCCCCCAGCCTCCACCACCCCACGCCACCATCCCCAGTAATTCCTCTATCTACTATCAGGTCGACGCGCAGCCCGCCACGAAGTGGGGCGTCCCCGGCTGGGTGCGTTCCATCGAGCTCACCGAGGTGGTGGCCAAGGCGCTGAAGGCGCCGGCCGGAGCCGACCCGTTCAATTACGTGTGCAACCTCTCGCTCGCCGACCTCGAGGGGAAGCTCGAGGCGGAGAAGCTGAGCGGGCTCGTTGCTCCCCTCTGGTCCGCCATTGAGAAGCTGCGCGACCAAAGCGCCGCGACCGGGGCGGCGCTGAACGCCAAGTTCGCCGCGGAGGGCGACGCGTTCAAGGGCGAGATGGGCTTCGGCGGCGTCGAGCAGTTCTACGGAGGCGTGCTGCACGCCAGTAGCTTACCTATCCTACCCGCCCACTCTTACCAGCGACCCCCGTCCCCTGACTTGTGGGCAGGCCTCGAGAAGATCATCGGGCCGCCGCTCATGGTGGACGGCTCGCTCCTCAAGGCCATGGAGACGGAGCACTGCGAGAAGAAGGATGCGGACGTGCCGTTCGACACCTCCAACGGCATCAAGGGCGCGACCTCCAAGCTGGAGTGGGAGTTTGTCGTCGCGCCTGTCGAGGACCCGGACGGCCGCTACGCCGAGCGCGGCGGCGACTTCCGCACGGTCCACCCCGAGTGGTGCCGCAAGCCGGAGCCGCTCTCGGTCTACGAGAAGAAGATGGCGGACGAGATGAACCCGAAGCTCGTTAAGGCGGGGCAGGCGCCGCTCACCAAGGAGGAGCTGGTCGCCGGCCGGCTGTACACGGGGCCGATGTACGAGAAGTACAACGGCGTCCTTCGCTTCTTCGCGGCGCTCGGCGCCGACGGCGCGGTGCGGCTGGAGTACGCCTCGGAGAAGGAGGTGCCCTTTCTGCAGAAGAAGTGCGGCTTGCTTAACCTCGGCGAGTGGGCTGCGACGGCGGCAGGCAAAGGCGAGGCCGCGGTGCGCTGGACGTGGCACAACCAGTACTCGACCACCATCCACGCGATCAACTCGATCATTGTCAAGCTGTCGCCGCTGACCAAGATCACGCCGCTCTACCGCGGCTGGGCGGGCGCCACGCTCCCGGAAGCCTTCTTCAAGCCGGACGCGCTGGGCTTCCGCGGCGGCGTCGAGTACGGCTTCTCGTCGACCACCACCGACCGCGCGCAGGCGGTGCACTACGCGGAGGGCAAGGCGTCGACGGTGCTCGAGCTCGGGATGGGCATGATCGACCGCGGCGCCGACATTGCGTGGCTCTCGCAGTACCCGCACGAGAGGGAGACGCTGCTGCCGCCGCTCATGGGCCTGCAGGTGCGTCAACCTCGCTCCACCTCCCTCCTCCGCCTTCTCCTTCATCGCCTGCCCCTTCTCGACACCTGCAGGTGCGTTCGACGGGCGTGGAGGGCAGCACAATCGTCATCCAGAGCAGCTTCTCCATCAACATGGCCTCGCTCACGCTCGAGCAGGTGGCGGGCAAGCGCAAGAAGCTGCTCACCGACATGGGCGCGCAGATGGCGGCGGAGGTGCGCCGGGGGGTGGCTGGGGAGGCAGCGGAGGAGGCGTCGCAACTTGTGCGCGCCCACCTCGGCCTCGAGCGCGGCGCGGACGCCGGTGCGGCGGACGAGCGGCTCGAGGCGCCGCTCGGCGACGAGGCTGAGGCGTACAACAACGACCTGCGCTTCCAAGCGGCGGTGGGCGATGCGCTCAAGGTGAAGCGCGCGGCGGTGCTCGCGGCGACGATGCAGCACGGCGGCGGCAGCGGGCTTGCCGCGGCGATGGATACGGTACTGCCGCTGCAGGCCAGCGGCGTCGATTTGACGGGGTTCCCCCTTGGGACTACCGGCTGGATCAAGGCGAGCGAGGTCGAGGGCGAGTCCAAGGAGGTCGGGGCGAAGGTGATCTACCAGGGGCGCGAGATGGTCGTGAGCACGGGCGTGACTCGCGACTCCGAGGACGAGGAGGACGGCAAACTGAAGCTGGTCGATGACGGGATGGTGGGAACAGTGGTCGCGTGGCGCGAGATGGTCGTGAGCACGGGCGTGACTCGCGACTCCGAGGACGAGGAGGATGGCAAACTGAAGCTGGTCGATGACGGGATGGTGGGAACAGTGGTCGCGTGGATGGAGTCGGAGCCGTCGGCGCTGACGTCGCTGACGCTCGACTGGGGCAAGGCGTGCGGCCGCGTGCGGGAGGCGCTGCTCGGCGTGGTGCTGGCGACGCACACGCTCGTCGCGCTGAGCGTGGGCGAGGAGGGGGCGATGCCGCTCAACCCGCTGCAGCTCCGCGGGCGCGAGGCGGTGCCGTCGCTCGACTTGACGGGGAAGGGCCTCGGACCCGGATCGGCTGCGGTCGTCGCGGCGGGGGTTTCGGTCAACGGGGTGCTGAAAACCCTCGACCTCTCCCACAACAACATCGGCGACGAGGGTGTCGAGGCGCTAGCAGACACTCTTAGCGTCAACAGGGTGCTGACCACCCTCAAGCTCGTCGACAACAACATCGGCGACGAGGGCGCCGTTGCGCTGGCCTCCGCTCTTCGCGTCAACGGGGTGCTGACGTCCTTGAACGTGTGCGGCAACAGGATCGGGCCAACTGGCGCGACCGCGATCGCAGAGGCGCTGCGCGTCAACGGGGTGCTGAAAAAACTCAACCTCGACGGCCATGAGCTCGACCTGCCGAAGCTGCGCGGCACCGACCCGGTCAAAACCCTCGACCTCTCGAGCAAGAGCCTCGGACCCGCTTCGGCCATCGTGATCGCGTCGTTGATTGCGGGCAACGGGGTATTGACCTCCTTGGACGTGGGCTTCAACGTCCTCACCGAGGAGGCGGCCCTCGGCATCGTGCGCGTCGAGCGGCAGCGCAACAAGCTGACCTCGCTAGGCTTGGCTGGCTGCAGCATTGGCCAGACTGGCACCGCAGAGATCGCCGAGTACGTGTCGGGCAGTCAGCACCGATATGTATTCTTTGGCGGCTACAACCAGATCCACGACGAGGGCGCCGCTGCGATCGCCGAGGCGCTGCGCGGCAACGGGGTGCTGACCAAGCTCGACCTCTCCAACAACGAGATCGGCGACGAGGGTGCCAAGGCGATCGGCGAGGCGCTGCGCGTCAACGGGGTGCTGAACAACATCAGCCTCCGCTACAACGATTTGGGCGACGAGGGCGCTGTTGCAATCGCCGAGGCGCTGCGCGTCAACGAGGTGCTGACCAAGCTCGTGCTCGTGGACAGCAACATCGGCGACGAGGGCGCCGCTGCGCTGGCCTCCGCTCTTCGCGTCAACGGGGTGCTGAAAAACATCGACCTCCGCTTGAACAAGTTGGGCGACAACGGGAAGGGAGTGATTCGAGATGCGGTGAGCGGGCGGGAAGGGTTCAAGCTCCAGATGTGAGTGGGCTCTGACAGCCGGGAGTCGGCCACAGGGGGACGTACGTGCATTGGATTATAGTCTTGAAGAGCCGCTTCGGCGTCGGGGAGATTGATTTCTTTGTAGAAAATTCTTTTTGCGTTTTTCAGCAGGGGACGACCAACCTCAACCTCTGTGTCAACAACATCCGTGACGCCGGCGCCGCTGCGATCGCCGAGGCGCTGCGCGGCAACAGGATGCTGACCGGGTGCTGACCGCCTCCGCCGCGCTGCCTCCGCCGCGCCAGCCGTTGCCGCCGCATCGGCTTATCCTCGCCCCGATGTCGGCAGCGAGCTGGCTTTCCGGCTCCTCGCTCGGCGGCACAGCGCGCAGCTATGCTACACGCCGATGATCCGGTCCGAGGAGTTTGCCGTCCCGCTGCTGGAGGTGGAGCGCCAGCCGACGACTGCCCGCTGGTCGCCCACTCTTCGGGCAACGACCCGCAGACGCTGCTCGACGCTGCGAGGCAGGCCGAGCGCTGCCGCGGCGTGGTGGCGGTCGACCTCAACCTCGGCTGCCCTCAGCGCGCCGCGCGGAGCGGCAGGTTTGACCGCCGCGCCAGCCTTGAGAAGCAGCTGGACGCACTCGAGGTGGCCCTCCTGGCACGCCATGAACAGCGGCGTAGCGCCGTCCTCATCGGCCTGATTGACCACCGCGCCCGCCTCGAGCAGCAGCCGGGCGCAGCTGAGCTCACCCTCCTGGCTTGCAATGAGCAGCGGCGTGGCGCCGTTCTGCCTGGGCTTGGCCGACCGCCGCATTGGCCTCGAGGAACAGCCGGACGCACTCGAGGTGGCCCCTCTCGCACGCGAGGAAGAGAGCGGAGGCGTCCCCGTCAGCCGCCCCAACGCTCGCGCCGCCCTCGAGCAGCAGCCGCACCGCCTCGGCGCTTGCCCGTGACGAGCGGCCCAGGTGAGCAGCGTGTCTTGCTTCTCGGTCGGGTGCCGCGCGTCGAGCCTGCCGCGTGTCTGTCGCCCGGAGAGGAGGGCGAGCAGCGAGCCCAGATCGCCCCGTGCCAGGTCGGGCAGCAGGGCTGGGCCGCCGGCGCCGCTCATGACGCGGGGATTTTTAAGGAGAGGGGTGTGGCAGCCGTAGCCGTCGCCCACCCTTGGGCGTCCGCCTCTTCCTATCTCACTTCGCAGTCTCTCTCCGATTCTCGCTGCAACCTTCGTGCCACCTCGCTTCATGCCACCTCGCTTCATGCCATAAAACGGGCACGCCAAACGAGGGGTGGGAGAAGGACAGGGTCCCCGGACCTGCACGAGCAGGATCTTGTAAGTAAGGATTCAAAATTCTTTTTCACGATTCTCCGCGATCGCCGCTGGCTGGCTTCCGAGGAGGTGGTCTTTATAAGGACTGCGTCTTCGACGTGAGTCGTGAGTGCACAGAAGGACGCTAAGGCCGCGACTTCGTTGGCAGACATCAACCATGAAGACGACTGTGACAGGCTGGATGCTATAACGACCGACTCCTTCCAGCGCTTCGCCTTCTTGATCAGCGCGTCGGCACGATCAACCTCGATGACGTTTTGGTGCTAGCCGCCACCACACAGGGATTTTAAGGAGAGGAGTGTGGTGCTAGCCGTCGCCCACCCTAACCCTTTTTTAATTCTTTTTCACGATTCTCCGCCGATGTATATGGAGTCCACACATGCCCAACCACCTACCACCTCTGTGTGTGGCGCGCTAGGTCTCGGGTTTGACGCATGGGGTCACTCCGCGAAACTCGTGAACTAGCCGGGGCAGTCGGAGAAGGGGCAACTCCGTGCACTGACGGTAACTCTGACGGTCGGCCGTCAGAAACCACGCCTACGTGGATCGCGTCACACCAATCCTCGCTACCCAACGCGGCCAAAGGATATCCACCTCGAGAACCTCGAGAACCTGTGTGCCATTTGCCGAAGAATTTCAGCCCTATACATAAAGCAAAAGCACTATCGGGCGATGGGTTCGCATCCTCTTCACAGCGCCTGCCTGGCTACGAACAGGTACTCCGCCGATATGGCCTCTCCTTCGAGCTCTCCTCCACCCTCTCCGCCACCGCCGCTCCTCCTGCTCGACCTCCCCAGGGAGCTGATCGACGCGATCGCCGCTTGCTTGCGCTGCGACGACGTCCGCGACCTGCTCACCTTCGGCGGCTGCAACCGTGCCTTGAATAGCAGCGTCACCGCCTCTGCCCGCGCGGCCGAGTTCGCCAGCCTGCGCGCGCCGCGGCTGCTCGGGACCATCCGGCACGCCTGGCCACCGGAGGCTCCCAAGCAGCTCACGCGCCTCCTGCTCCTCGCCGAGGAACTCGATGAGCGCATGCCGTGTCTGGCCCGCCTCCGCTGCTGGTCCCCGCCAGCGAACGAGCCGGACTTTAGGAGCGAGGGCGGTGAGGCCGTGCTGCAGCTGCAGGAGCTCGAGGAGCGGATCGCTGAGGGGCCGCTCCCCTCGCACCGGCGGCGGATCCGGCTCGATCAGCTCCTGACCGACCCGACCGCGCGTTTCGATGACGAGGCGGCCGCACCCTCATGCCCCCCAACCCACCACCACCACCACACACACACACACACACACACACACACACACACACACACACACACACACACACACACACACAGAGAGAGAGAGAGAGAGAGAGAGAGAGAGAGAGAGAGAGAGAGAGAGAGAGAGAGAGAGCGAGCGAGAGAGAGAGAGACGCGCACACGCCACCCCCGCGTCACCGGCTCTCCTAGTGACGATGGCAGAGTCGGCTCTCCGCACTTCGTCTCCCCTCCTATTCGCTGCCCTCACCGCCTCTTGCCCTTGGTCGCTCACCCATGTGCACTGCGCCTTGCACATTGAATGCGCCGTGGGCTCCTGGCCGTGTCCGGGTGTGCCCCCCCCCCCCCCCCCCGGCATTACCATTAATTTGTGTTGGAGAAGTTCCCAACCTCTCCCCCCTGGTGGGCGCAGGGTTTTGCGCTCTCCGTCATCGCGGCTCGCCTCGTCGGCCTTGCGCCGCGCCAGGGTCCCTGCCAATAATAGCGGAATGCGTGTTCTTGTCTCCCAACTAGCGCTCGAAAGGAAACGCACTCCACTTGACCCGCCGAAAGGAAACGCACTCCGCTCGAACCGCCGCTTAAATTGCCCGCCTTTCGCGAATGTACTCGGCTGTACCCCTGGCCCGTGTGTCCACCCCTGACTGCACTGCACGAAAAGGTTCTCGCGCCACGACCTCGGGGGTCCTCCGGACCTCAAGCTTGGTTCCCGGGCAACCAAGTGCGGCTTCAGGTGTGCAACACGGGCGCGTGGCTCCGCATTGGAGGCCGGTGGGGGCCCGAAGCGCCCGCGCTCCTCGATCTCTCGCCGGAGGACGATGATGACGAGGAGGAGGGCGAGGACGAGGACGAGGACGAGGAGGGCGGCGGCGGCGAGGAGGACAAGGGCGGGGCGGTCGACGAGGGCGGCGGCGAGGTCGAGATCGGGGCGCCGGGAAGCTTCGCGCTCGCCGGTCTATTCGCGACTACCAGCTCTCGCACCTAACCCTGACCCCAACCTAACCCTCACCCTAACCCTAGGTCTGCTCGCGTGCGACTACCAGCTCTCGCACCTAACCCTGACCCCAACCTAACCCTCACCCTAACCCTAGGTCTGCTCGCGTGCGACTACCAGCACTCGCACTCGCGGCTGCGCACGCTGCGCCTCAACGGGAACGACCTCACCCTCTCGGTGACGCGGCTCGCTCGCTGGCGCGCCTCGAAAAAGCAGTACCGGTGCGACGCGCCCCGTGTTTCTGTTTAGGGCTTCCACGCGCTCGGCGTCGGCCTCGACGCGGCGCGCTCGTACGGCGGGGCTGCGGCTGTGGACATGCCCCGGACATGTCCTGGACGTGTCATGGACAGGCGCGCACGAACAACGGGCTGCGGCTGGCCGAGCTCGACCTCGCACACACGGGGCTGTGTGTCGAGGGCTTGCGCGGGCTGCTCGGCCCCGACACGCGAGGCGCCCACCTCGCGTCCCTCCGCCGGCTCGACTTGCGCCAGAACATGCTCGACGACGACGGCGCGCGGCTGCTCGGCCGCGGCTTCCGCTCGCTGCAGGGGCTGAGCCACCTCTTTCTGCGCGGCAACGAGTTTGGGTGCGAGGGCGCGGCGGCCCTCTTTGGCGGCTTCGCCGCCTGGCCGACGTCCGAGCCGCCCGCGCTACAGTTTTGCGACGCGCTCGCAAACCACCGGCTGGGGGTGGGGGCGGGCCGCCCGGCCGAGGGGCTGGCGGGATGCATCGACGCGGTACTCGCCGCGCTGAGCGCGCTGCCCGAGCTCACCCGCCTCCAGTTAGACCCGCGCCTCAAGCGCGACGACGAGGCGTACAACGCGCTGCAGGACGCGTGCAACAGATTCGACATCGATCTCCACTCGTTCTGAGACTGAGGGAGCACGAGGCCCCCCCGCTCGCGCCCGGCGGGGCGGGGAGGAGGGCGGTGTAGGCCAAAGAGCGAAGGGAGCTGGCAGAAAGAGGTGTCTTTGAGCCGCCGCCGGCACACAACTCGATCGCATGTAAGCGAGTCACACGAGGGCGGGCGCGCGCGGGCGCGGCGTGGCACGGTTAAGGGTTGACTGTGACACTGTACAACAGCGATCAGGGCGTGCACACTGCACATGCGATGTGCGTGACTGTGTGGGTGCTTGCGCGAATGGAGCGTCAGTGCACAGTGGCCACCGCCGGTGTGTCATAATTTAGTCATCATGCTCAAATAGTTAAAGCCGTACGATGGGGCAGAGTCTACTCTAGTGTCTATATATAGAGTAGAGAGAAATCACAAAATCCAATATCCATCGCTCTCGATGCCGCCTCGATCTCGCACGCGCGGCGCGGCCGCGGGCGCATGGCGGCTTCACTGGCAGAACACTGGCTTCTCTCGCCCCGGCGGGCCAGCAAGCAGCATCATGTGCACGGGCACCTAATAGGCACACGTGCGCCACCGATATGCGTGCGGTACGCGCTACGCCCGCCCGCCAGCATGGCGTAAGGATGGTCCTATGATCGCGCCTCGAAGCCGTGCTTGACGAACTTGGACAGGTGACCCTGCTTCATGCCCACATCCTTCGCCACGCCCGCCCGCTCGGCGCTGTCCAGCCCGCCCAGAAACTCGACGTCGTCATAGCCCTCGGCGTCAAAGGCGGCGACGTAGTTCTCCAGCCCGACCCTCTCGAGAGCCGCGGCGACGGCCGCCATGCCGCCATTGTCGGGAGGCACCTCCTTGTGGACGGTGCGGCCGTCGGGCAGGAGCTCGAACAAGCGGCTCTCGGGCAGGCGGGGCGCGGAAGGGGCGGGAGGGGCGGAGGAGGAGGCGGCGGAGGAGGAGGAGGCGGCGGCGGCGGAAGAGGAGGAGGAGGCGGCGGCGGCGGCAGAGCCGCTGCTCGAGCGGCGCTTTGGCGGCGGTGCGGTCGCCGACTCGAGCGCGCGCTTTGCGGGGAGGGGTGGGGCCTCCCCTTGGCATGCTGGCACCTCGCCGACCGCCCGCGCGTACGCCACCGCCGCCTCCACCACCGTGGCGAAGGAGCCGATGTGGACATCCTTGCCGTCCACCTTGCGCTGCGCTCGGAAGCGGCCAGAGGCGAGCTCAGTCACGCCTTTGTAGCCGGTGCTACTGCTGCTAGAGAGGTGCAACCGCAAGCCCTCCGCCTCCGCCACCACAGTCGGAGGCTGGTACTCACCGACCGCCCGCGCGTACGCCACCGCCGCCTGCACCGCCGTGCCGAAGATGCCGATGGAGACCAGCCTTCCGTCCAACCTGCGCTGCGCTCGGAAGCGGCCAGAGTTCGTGAACACGCCCTTGTAGCCGGCGCTGCTGCTGCTGGACAGGTGCAAGCGCAATCCCTCCGCCACCGCCTCCGCCGGCGCCTCGCCGACCGCCCGCGCAGGGTGGTGCTCGTACACGTTCTTGTAGCCGGTGACGCTGCTGCTCGAGAGGTGCAAACGCAAGCCCTCCGCCTCTGCCGCCACTGTCGGAGGAGGCGGAGGCTGGTAATCGCCGACCGCCCGCGCGTAGGCCACCGCCGCCTCGACCGCCCTGTCGAAGATGCCGAGGTTGACCAATCTCCCGTCCATCTGGTGCTGTGCTCTGAAGCGCGAGCGTTCCCTGCTCACCCCCCGGTAGCCGATGCTGTTGCTGCAGAGGTGCAAACGCAGGCCCTCCGCCACCGCCACCGGCGCCTCCTCGTCCGCAGCCCGCCCGCCGGCGCGGCACGCCGCGCAGAACCAGTCGCCCTCCGGCACCGGCACCCCACACGGCAGCTCAAAGTCGCCCTCGCAGCCGTCGCACACGATCGCCGTCACGATCTCGTCGGGAGACAGCGCCGCCTCTGCCGCCGAGCCCTCCGCCGCGTTCCCTGCCGCGGCTCCCGCCGCCTCGCTGCCCGCCCGCGCGTAAGCCGCCGCCGCCTCCACCGCCGTGTCGAAGGTGCCGAGGCCGACCTGCCTTCCGCCCGCCCTGTGCTGCGCCCAGAAGCGGCCAGAGGAGCGGTGCTTGAACACGCCCTTGTAGCCGGTGGCGCTGATGCTCGAGAAGTGCAAGCCCTTCGCCTCCGCGGCAACTATCGGAGGCTGGTACTCGCCGACCGCCCGCGCGTAAGCCGCCGCCGCCTCCACCGCCGTGTCGAAGCAGCCGATGTAGACCGTCCTTCCGCCCGCCCTGTACTGCGCCTCGAATCGGCCAGAGGGCTGGTTGGTCACGCCCTTGTAGCCGGTGCTGTTGCTGGAGAGGTGCAGCCGCAGCCCCTCCGCCTCCGCGGCAACTATCGGAGGCTGGTACTCGCCGACCGCCCTCGCGTACGCCACCGCCGCCTCCACCGCCGTGTCGAAGTTGCCGAGGGAGACCATCCTTTTTTTCCCCACACTGTGCTGCGCCTCGAAGCGGCCAGAGGCCTGCCTGTACACGCCCTTGTAGCCGGTGGCGCTGCTGCTGGAGAGGTGCAAGCGCAGCCCCTCCGCCTCTGTCGCCACCTCCTCTCGCTGCTCCGCCCTCGTGGCCGCACCGAGCCGGCCTCCCCCGTGGCCGCGCAGAACAAGCCGCACTCCCGTGTAGCCGGCGCTGCCCTTGCTCGACAGGCCCACCGCCGCCGCCGCCGCCGCCGCCGCCGGCAGCGGCGGCGGCACCGGCTCGCAAGCGGCTGGCGCGGCACTCGTCGCAGCGGCTCCCAGCGAGGGGCGGCGCGGCTGGCCCCAAAAGTTCTGCGGCAGCTTGCGCGCCCGCTTGCTCGAGAGCAGCTCGTGCGGCCCCGCGTGCCCCGCCGGCAGCACGCAGCCAAACACGCCGCCGTCTCGCTCGAACGTGTTGCCGCACAGCACTGGCTCGGTGGCGGAGCCGGAGGAGGAGGAGGAGGTATTGCAAGCCGACAAGGGCTGGGCTTCCGCCGTCGCCGCCGCCGCCGCTGCCGCAACCTTCTCCGCCTCCGCCACCGGGGGCTCTGTCAGCTCCGCCTCCGCAGCCGCCATGCCGTCGCCTCCACCGTCAAACACGCCGCCGCCGACGGCGGCGACGTCGAGCGTGGCGATCGCTGGCGCCGCTGGATCAGCAGGCTGCTGGGCGGCGGCGGCGGCGGCGGCGGCGGCGGCGGCAGGCTCCGCCGCGGCGGCGGTTGCGAGCGGAGGCACACCCTGGTCGCCCGGCGCCTCAGCTGCCGCCATGGTTAGCTGGTTCAGATGCAGGTCGCACCTCTTGTTATCCTCATTCCAGACAAAGAGCACGCGCGTGCCTCCCGCCTTGATCTGCAGCGGAACTATACAGCTCCCGCAGGTGCAGGGCACCCTGAGCCGCAGCGTGTAGGGCGTGGCCGACGGTTGGAGGTTCTTGATCCGCAGCTTCTTCACGGCTGGGAAGGCGGGATCCTCCTTGTCCACCGCCCGCGTGAGTTGCCCGTTCTGGACAAGAGTCTGCCAGGAGACTGCGACGGAGTGTGCCGCGACAGAGTGTGCCATGGCGGTTTTGATGTGCCTGCACGACACTACAAAAGAATTTCTCTTTTTCTTCTTCGCACTCTCCCTGCGAACGCGCACCCCCCCTAGCTAGGGGTCAGGGCTCTCTAGCCCGTAGCCCGATACCGATCATCCGGCCCGCTGGATGCGCTTCTCAGCTCCCCGGCCCTGGATGTGAGGTTACTGACTGCACTCCAAGTGCTCCAAGTGCTCCAAAACAAGTCTCTCTCACAGCAGACAGGCTCGACACAGGTGCGAACTGGCGCGTGCTAGTACTATCACAGCACACAGGCACACCACCGGAGCCGCCTAAGCGACTCCGTTAAGAGCGGCAATGCACTTAGCACCGTGCACAATGCCGCTGTCCCCGCACGCTAGCTCGTTCACCGAAAAAGAATAAGCTCGAGCCTGGGAATAGGACCGCCGCAAGCGGCGTGGCGTGGGGCGGTTGAAATTACGCGAACTGGACACCGCTCCCTCCACCGGCACCGCTCGTCCGCTCCTGCGTCAGGCTGCAACCGCCCTCTCTCCCCCCCTCTGAGCAGCAGCTGCACCGCTCCCCCGCCATGCCCGCCCCCCCCCCCTTTTAACCCCAGACTCTCCTCTGAGGTGGGGGTGAACAAAGGAGATGCGCACGGCGCTGCTGGCATCCTGAGCCGAGATATAGACGGGACACCTGCTTCTTGCCTCAATGCACGGATGAACAGGGACGACCTCTGGGCCAACTC